TTATATGGTAAGGTAATATTAGACAGTTTGTATAGCCACTGCACTCTCTTAAAATGAATTAGTCAAAAATAACTAATTATAAGTCATATTTGACTAATTGTCATAGCGAAAAAGCAGTCACTAATAATTAGTCAAATTCTACCGAATGAAGTAGTCAAATTAGTAGATTTAAATTTAGAAAAAGTTTTTGACCCAGCCGGGGATTGAACTCATGTCTGTTACTTGTAAAGTTTGTCAAGCTGTTGTCATAACCCATTCGGCTATCAGCCTCTCTTATAAAAATCAATATTATTTGTTAATAAATATTGTTCATAATATTTTAAAGTTGAATATATTATTTGTGTTGTTGTTTTGAGCTAAACTTTTTGTTTTTATGGGTCATTTAATTTGTTGTTAATCAAATATGACTTATAATTAGTTATTTTTTTCTAATTAATTTTAAGAGAGATATTAAGGTGAAGTCAAGATTGAAAGTTTGTGAAATGCGTGTGTGTAGAAAAAAGAGGGTTGTAGGAAGTATGGGAGAGTTTGGTGCACCGTGAAATGAAAATTTGTTGTTGAGTTAAATTTAATATAAATAGTGGAGTTGCGGTGGTTTGGAAACAATGTAGTAGTGGTGTATCAATATGGCATGGGCATAGCAGAGAAGAGAAGAGGCGGAAAATAGAGCATAAGCAATTTGAATATTAGCTTTTGCGGATACATCGAACGGAAAAGATAAGTTCGCAAGATATGCGCAACTATGTAATAAGTTTAAAATGTGAGTAAAACAAATATTGTTGGAAACAACACGGTGCCAGACAACGGATAGGATGAAAGTGACAGGAGGCGAGCTTAACGTCAAACCAAACAAAAGTTTTCCTCTTAGGCACGAAAAGTTTCGCCGTGTCTAAGTTTTTCCGCAAACGCCACCAAACCCTCGCCAACCCACAAATTATAATATTGATGCCTATCCACTTTACCTGAACGCTATCCCTCACAAAACTAAGCTCTCCCAAATACCACTTTTCTCTTCTTTTGCCTTCAGATGTTTCTTTGCGTCCCATCACAATATGCGTCCCACTGAACAGTGACACAACAAATTTAGCTACCCAATGTGCTTAAAAACTTACATTAAAGTTCTGATGAGGACGCAGCCGGTAAACCCAATACTTTTCTAACTTAGTATCCACGTCTTTGGGTATTTTCTCTTGCTCAGGTTGATGCTTAAAAACAAACATGTTATAGCCGAAAAGTGTACTGGTCGGCAGGCTTTTTCTACCTGCGTTAAAAATATGGTGGCATTTAAGTATTGTTTTATATTCAAAAAAGTGTAGAGGTCGACAGGTTTCTTGCAGTTTTCGGTCCCATTCCACATCACAAACAATTTTTTTCCTAAACATATTAAAGAATAATTTTTACTTTTCTTATGGGTGAATATATTGAGATGTCCCCCAAGTAAAAATGATTATTTTTTGTAACTGTTGCAAAAATGGCGGATGCGCCGGGATAATATCCCTGCGCATTCGCCATTTTTAAAACTTTTTTTATATAATTTTTTTATATACATTGTAAAAAATAATTAATTGCGGTTAAAATTCTGGAACCTGAGCTGTAATATCTACTTAATTATAAAAGATCAAAACACAATAAAAGTGTAGTTCAAACTTATTTAGTTTTAGAAGGTATGGATAGAATTGATAGGTCTATAATAGGTTAAATAGTATAAAGGTGTTGCTATATATTTAAGTCCTTGTAAAGATAAAGTTATTTTTTTTACCCAAAATCGTTGCGTGATATTTTACATTAAAATAAAAAGCCATAACTTGTATTGAATAGCTAGATGCGATTAATACCCCTCAACTGTCTAAAAAATAGAATAAAAAAACTATTTAGATAAGAAGTTAAGTGAAAGGATATACATTTTGAGGTTAAGTATTTAAATATTTTCTCTTTTAAAAGCACTATATGTTAAATAAATTATGGATTTTTAAATTAATAGTAAATATATATGTATCATTTTGGTAACGAATTTAATTTAGGCACAAGCGAACTTGCGAGCGAGTGATTGATAAAATATACGTATATTTTTGTATACAAGTATCTATTTAAAAAGCAATGCTCTATAGGTCTAAACCTAAAAAAGATATGAAATACTTTCTTTTTTAGGTCCCTGTATTTATTTTTATATCGAGTACAAAGTAACTAATAATTAAACAAAGAAGTTTTATCGCCTGTAAATGCATTTAAAAATAATTTGTGAGTATATATTTTTTTAGTTTTAAAATATTATAATAGAGAGAAAAAAACATTGTTAAAGTAATCTTTTGATATTGGATTTGTAAAAGAAATTCCGAAATAATAAAGCAAGAAAAAGTACTAATCTTTAGCAGAAATCGTAAAAATCTTATTGCTTGTAAAGCCTTATTTTTGTACGTTGCCCCAAACACTTAAACTTTGTTTAATTGACGTTACTCGTAGACAATGCACAAGTTTTTACTACCTAACATTTTTTGCCACACAAAAAGTGGGAATTAAATATTTATTTAATTTAACTAAATTGATTGTCACGAATGAGGCGGTATAAAAGTAAATAGGGCATTTGGGGTTTTAATTAAATTAATTGTTCAATAATTTACGAAATTAAAATAAAACATTCTACTAAAATTATTGCACGTTTTGTTTTGATATTATTTTAAAATTGTATAAAAAGCAGGCATCAACAAAAATTGAATTATTGATCCAGAAAACATTAGTGAAAAGTTACACTTTTATGTTTGAAATGTAATTGTGAAAATACATTTTTGCTTTTGCTTGCAAATTAATGCCTTGAGATGAAATGTAAATAAAGAATATTAAATTTGAGAGAACCTTTGCAAAAAAAGAAAATATTATGAGTAGCTTTTCCCTTTTAGGGTGACAACAAAAAGTCAGATTAACTTCGAATAAAAAACTTATATTATACTTACTACATGACCGTCTTATAATTTAGAAAATACATTTATGAAGCTAATAAATCTGTTATAGCGGTTAAAATAACGTATCTAAAATGGAATCCTTAAAAAATCTATTAAAAAATTGCTCAAACTAAAAAAGTGAAAGGACCCTTGGGAAATTTTTGTACAATAAAAGCTCGTATCAGAAAGACAGATAGAAAAATTTATGGTTTTATAAAAGGCTTTTAGAAATATACATATATTTACTTATTGTTAAATATTTTAAAATCTCCTTTTAACAAAATGTTTTCTAAAATAACAAAGCTGATTGGGGTTGCAAAAAATACAAAGTCAAGTTATACATTGTGTTATATTTACATGCATTGCAATTTTGTCTCTTATATTACACGAAGAATGTGTTAATAAACAGGAAAATTAAATTAGTAATTAATTAGGCACAAGAAGCATTAAAATGGCTTTCACCCTTCTGAATTAAACATTTTGTGCCCCATCCACACACAGTACATACACTCGAACTAAATTGTTATTCACAACATGTTTCAAGTTTATTAATACTACATAATGATTTGTTCTCGCTGAGCCGTTTTGTACCAATAAACCATCAACATTAAAAAATAACTGTCACCCAGATTTACTGCTTCACTATTTTCGCCATTAAACATTTAACATGAATCAGTTTTTTACAGCCACAAATGAAATATAAAATATAAACAAACTAATTGTTTGTTTGAACCAAAATCCGCAAAACAACAAATAACAAAAAACAACTTTTCAAGTTTGCTGAGGTAAGTCTTAAGGAATTTTGCAGGCACCAACAAAACATTGGAAGTACATTTGTAATTAACAAATTGTAAATTAGTTTGAGTTTAAAGTACACTTGGTTTTGTTGTATTTTAAAACAAACCATTTTTTTAATTAACATGATAATATCATATTATTAAATAAATTTTAAAAGTTACACTCAATATTTCATACTTTTGTGTATTAGTTTAATCAAATACTTTAGTTTAGTGTGCCTAAAATTTTTATAAAATTAAACAAAAGAACTGAAAATTAATCCCGGCGCATTCGCCATTTTTGCAAAATATTTATATCAATTTTTATATATTTTTGCAAAAATGGCGAATGCGCAGGGATTAATTTTCAGTTCTTTCGTTTAATTTTATAAATTTTGGGCGCACTAAACTAAAGTATTTGATTAAACTAATATATTTATATCTTTATATATATAAATACACATTTTAGAAAAGATTAACGTGAAAAGTGTAAACATTTCAATTCAGTAATAATCGTCAAACAAATAAGTCGTCTAAATTTAAACAGCATTTAGCATTATTGAAAGCGTTGATTAAGAAAATCTCCACTCAACGGTAAAATACCATTATATTATGTATTATATATAATATTATGTTGCCATGAATTCGTAGGTATATTTTGTTGTTTAAAATGCAGTTGTCGGCGTTTTTTAGAGAACTCAAATATAAAAATGGTTAATTTTAAGGTTATGTTTGTGCAAAAATTAGTTTTTACTAATTTCTTAAAAATGTCCAAACTTAAATTATATTATGTAAAGTTATCATTGGTTATGAAAATGCAACGATTTGGTTGTTGAATTTTATTTACAATTATTAACACAATAATTCACCATGATCCCTTAGAAAAAATACACACAATAACATAACTATATAAGCATTTAAGCGTTGAGTTTCTTAATCAATGATATAAAGAGTAATCAATTGAAATCGAGTTTTTTAGTTTTTTCCTTGCAACGTGAAATAGACGTAAATTATTTATATTATTATTAAAAAATACATTAAAGTTACAATTATAATAATATTTATTAAAAGTAGGCAGTGAGGTTAAATATATCTGACAGCTGTCAGTAGTAGTCTAATTTTTTGATTGGACCAGCCTAGGCAGTAATTAGCGGTAATCATTTTGGTAGTGAGTGTTGAGGCTTGAAGATAAAATGTTGTTTATGTAAACCGCGAAGTATACGTTATACGTTATACGTTAACTTAACAGTACGGTAATGGTAATTGTTTTGTTCTTCTCCGTTTTCAGATGGAGTATTTGGTTTCGAGCCGGACTTTTTGTATCCTCTGGAGAACGTAACAGTGGCGCAAGGCAGGGATGCGACGTTCACCTGCGTCGTGAACAATCTGGGTGGATACAGGGTGAGTGGGGATCTCACCACAGCCAGGGTCAGTATTTTATTTATTATTCTAAACAATTATTATGCACCGAAACGAGAACACGATCGAATGTTGGCCTGGTTTAAAGTTGCCATATTAATCATCAAACAAATTTACAAAGTAATTCCTTCATTTACATGTTTATTTTGAATCAAAATATTATTATTTTTTGTTTTGAATTATCCGTTATTTTTTATTTTATTCTTCTATATACAGCCCGTTCATAATAAAACCGAATATATCTATATATATATATGGGGCGTGGCCTCGCCTCCCTCCAACGCGCGACACAGTAGCTAAGCAAATAGCCTGCATCGCTAATGAGATTTTTTGCATTATTATCATTTAATTTTTTAAGTCCTTACCTGCTCGACCTTTCGTCATGTCGTTTGTGACACAAGCTACTGTGACGCGCCTTGGAGGGAGGCGAGGCCACGCTCCATATATATATATATATATATATATATATATATATATTTTCGGTTTTATTCTGAACGGGCTGTATGTTAATGATGATTAAATTGACAAATAAAAACCAGGATTAGTTTCTGCACTCAGCACCAATCACAGAGCACCATTTTAAAGGCATCGGCACCGTTGACAGCACCAAGTTGCACCCAGGAATCCTTCTTGCACCAAGGACTCACTGAAATTATTTATTTTAATCAGCCACGCTAAATAACAAGAAAAATGTGACAATAATCTAAGCACCCACAATTAATATCGTTTTCAGAATAGATAAACTTTTTTCATGTTTTTCAGTGTTGGTAATCAATTTTACACGTTTTAAATGCAATTGTACTTAAAATGTCTTTTAAAAGTGTTTAAAAAAATCGACTAAAAAATAGTTCAGAATGATCCTGTCAATCTTGTTAATATTAATGCATCGCAAATTTCTATTTAGCATTTAATTAACATGGGATTTTTTCAGTACACCTAAAATACCAAGACGTATTTTGTAGAAAATTGAAAGTTTCACAAAATAGGTTTCTTATAATTTTATAGATAAATTCACCCTATCGAAAGTTATTTTAAGGTTTTCCTACTTTTCCAGTAAAATTATTAAATGTATTGTAAAATGTTATGTGTACAGCATTTCATGTTCCTTAAATTATTTTTTAATCCCTAAAATATTTTTAGTTATTTGCATTTAGACAGAATATCCGTTTTTCGAGCCCAAGCTTATTTCAAAAGTTTTAAAAGCTAGTCAAATTTTGAGATACCCATGATTAGCATAAAAAAACGCACTCCTATAAATATAAATGTATAAATACTGACTGATTCTAAAAAAACTTAAAAAATCCATTATAACTTTGTTACTATCAATTTGAAACTTTTGACATTTTGACATTTTTTGAAATGTCACATCTAATGAGATATTGAGATATCATGTTCAAGTTTGATTTTTTTATCAAGAATAAGGACAATTTTTTCTCTGTTAAGTTAAAATTTCACTGAAAACATCAAGCTTGGTTTTTCAAATACCTAAGTCATATTTGTGTTAGTCACTACAGATGGAAAACTTGAATCCTGTAATATAGCAAAATGCAATAGCGTTGTTGCTTGAAAAAAATTAATGATTTATTAAGAATAATAATCCGAAAATCTAGATATCTAAATTTGGCAAACATAAATATTAGATCAAAATAATTCTTTCTGCATTTTTTTAAGCAACAAGTGTTTTTGCTGTTGCTTGTTATGTGCTTTGTTTTGCTATTGTTTGTTGCTGTTTTTACAGTATTTAAGTTTTTAATCTCTAGTGACAAACACAAATATAACGTAGGTATTTGAAAGAGCAATTCAACTTGATTTTTCAAGTGGAATTTTTACTTTTTTAATATAATATAAAAAGAGAAAAAATGAAAAAATCCAGTATTTTTTTAAAATGTTCTATATTTTATAAACTATGCATTTTGATGCATTAATGCATAGGATCTTTTTTGTAGGAAATTTAATTTAAGACCTAATTTTTTAACTGCAAATTTTACTATATTGAACTGTATATTTTATTACATTAAGTAAGGATTTTTTTAATTATTTTTTACAATTAAAATGATCTTTTGTCCTGTATTATTTAATATTGTACACACTGGGGTTTGGCATATAATAATAATACATGTGTGTGTGTGTATATAAGTACATATGTGTACTTGTGATTTAAAACGTGTAAACATTGAGAAGTCGATAAATAAATAATTTGAAATGAAAAACCAAATAACCCAAGAGATTAGAATAATAAATGTTCTGGCATGTGGTTCAACGAATATATTTGAATACCTGGCATGTGTAAAAAATACTGCATTTTTGTTAGAGGTTTTTAGATGATACAATTAGTTTTCGAATATTTTTAACGAAGTGAAAACTTTTTTGCAAAAATAATTAAATTAAAATATCGGGTTTCACTTTGTTTAAAATTAAAATAAGGATGCACAGAATATTTTATTCAAAATACACCAACGTACAGTGGTGTTTTTACAAAATAGCGGATTATATTGATTATCCCGAAAAATAGTTTTATTAATTTTACACATTCAATTTAAATGATATTTAATCCCTTACTGTAGCGTACTATTTATAGTAAAAATAGTAAATATAAAAATATCCTGTGTACTTAATTAAATATTAATTTAAATATGTATATAATCTTTTTATTTTTTAACATTATGGCGCATTGTTTATATTATTGTTTTTATTTAATTATATTGATAAACAAGTTACCCTTTTATCTAAAAAATTAAAACTAATTTAAAAATTAAAAAAATAATAAATTATTTAAATAATAAACAAGGTAATAAAAACAAGTGCAAACTAAAAATAACATTGTACAATATGATAATTTTAAAATAATTCAAATTATTATTATTTGTCCGTTTCGTTCAGGGCTGTTAATTGCAAAAAAATTAAAAATAACAGAAAATGTTATTTCTACAAACGCACTTTTAAGCCAGAAAATTCGATTAAAAGTGATAGGGTTGGAAAGCAGGTAGCAAGAAACCTGCCAATCACTACACTTTTCAGCTGTAATCTTTGTGTTTTTATACGGAGGTTTATTAAAAATTTCTAGTTTACAGAGCAAAGAATATATTGTATATTGTGTTTATAAACGAGTATAATTTGTCTACGACAAATACTTTGAATTAAATATTTGTATAGAGCGACATCTATAAAACAATAGAGTAACCATCCTTGGAAATGTGAAATTTGTATGTGAAAATCAAAAAGTATCCCTTGAAAATGGACCATTTAAATTCGCAGTTTTTCACAGTGAAAGTAAAGAAAATATTTTATGGAGCCTCCACCCGAAATTAAGTTAAATCTAGTTTACTGCGGGCAAAATTATAAGGTCAGTACAATGTTCATATATACTTAATAATTTTAACATCTAGTATTATTTTACAAGAAAGGCACTTTATTTTATCGATTGTATGACATTTGACAACTGTCAACTAAATTCAGCCCGTGACTAAAACGTCAAAAAGTCACAACCTGTCGATGTATTGGGCGTTTTAAAGGTGGGAGTAAAAAATACACTTATTTCATAAACTGTGAATTTTGGATATATTTCATGACGTGTAGCTAGAAACAATAACGTAAGGCAATGACCGAATAGACGATAGAAGAGTAATTGTTGCAACAACAATGACGAATATTAATGAGCAGATTAGCTGAAATTCAAAACAACGCTGGCTCGGGTGGATCCCTTCAGAAGAAGCGCTGCGACCTCAACACTATTTCGCGATATGGACATTTGTAGAGGTATTAGCACTACTATTATTTAAACGATCTCTCGTGAAGACCGCTTAATCTCTCGCTGTTTCTGTAGATAATGAAATATGCAATTGTGCTCGGGAAACAATAGCACGACGTTTTCGTTTGCTGTTTAACATAGCTTAACTTCCCATCATCTGTTTTAACATAAACGCATGCAATACCTAACTATTATCATCTTCATTGAGAAATTATCATTTATAGGAAATTTAATAGAAAAAACGACGTCCAAGTCATCAATCAGCTCAACCATTGCATCAAGTGAAAGCGGTAGTGCATCTACAGGGCGATAGATGGCGTTTACATGAATAATACCATAGGGGCCCTAGATTTGGGACCTTAGAATACCAAATACATTTTCAGCTATAAAACCGAGTATACATTTAACTGTCGGGTTTTATACACTATTTTATTTAAATATTTCTTTGAGATTTTGAAACATCATTTTAGGTTAATTTTAACTGACATGATGACATTTAAGCTTTATTTCTGTACGGAGTTTAATAATAATTTGACCTTTGAACTGGTATTAGGTAATAAGATGTCTGAGTGTTATAATATGAAAATTATTATACGCTTGAAAAAGAGTTTTTATAAATATTTCCAACCCTTTAAACACGATTTAAAACAAAAAAGCAGTCTAGGTAATCAAAATAAATAAATGGAATTGGCATAAAAAATTAATAATATTTCAAACTTAATTAAAGCATTTGGGAAAATCGTGCAAAATAGTAAAGTGGAACGTTTCACTCTCATTTCATATTAAATTAAATGTTTTAAAAGTTTATTAAATTTTTTAATTTTTCCATAATTTTATGGTGCACAGTAGACTTGAAAATCTATTTAAAAAAGAACAATCATTATGATATATTTTTGTGCTATTAATCTTGACCCTGTACAGATTTTAATTCAATTTTATAAAGGTTTATATAAGTTTTATAAGTTATATATGTTAATATATTACAAACTTTTTAATCTAGTTTCTTTTATTAATAGTTTACATTCTGTACAAATTTAAATTTAATTGAATCAGTAGCGGCGATTTTATAAAGCTTAAAATGATTAAAGTTGTGTTAAAGTAGGTTAAAATTACATTAAAAACTATTTAAAATAACATTATAAAATTTTAACACAAGTTTAATATATTAAGAATATGGATTCTGCAAAAAAATAATTTACTCAGAAGCGGCCATTTTATATGGGTTTAAATATAATTAATTTATTTATCAACTGATTTACGA